CTCTTCTACGTAAAGAAATTCTCCTTGTTCCGGCTGATGCGATGTAAATGCTTAAATACAACGCGGACTACATTATCCCGTTGATTTCATACTGTTTACCATTATCCATCGAAGTATCACTTGCGAAATCCCTAGATCATCCTTCATGCGCACACTTATCACATGTGTGAACCGATTTCTGCGCAATAATGTTATCTTGGTTCAAAGGTTCCGATGTTATGAAGCTGACTTAGGCCGATTAGTTTTTTTTTTCAGATATGAATAAAAATTCATATTTGTCAGAAAATAGCAATCGAACGCCACCACAGACATCTTACCGTAGGGTACACGTTGGATTTTAACAAGAAACATGCCTTAATCTGATCTAACAAAATACCGTAACAAATGAAAACTAAATTCTACGTTCCACATTATTTGTTTGTCTTAACGAGATCGGAGTTTGAGGTAACACATTTGGTTTCACTCAGCAAGTCTCATTATCGACAGCTATCATCAGGTGATAGATTACCGCCAGAAAGGTTAAGGACGGCCAAAGTTCGCTTAGTCGGTCGACATTCATCACGCTGCAGACAGGAACCGAAGCTTACTAGTGAAAGCCATCACTGCGTCGAGTGGCCAGGTTTCTGAAAAGGGCCAAGAAACGGTCATTTTTGAGGATATGCCGTTTCCCAGTAGTTGAGTGAACGGAGTATAATCGCCGCAGTGAATGCACCCAAGAAACCAAATATTAGAAATGCCGCAAACGCCCGCACGACAGGACAGTGGTTAGTAACGATGAGGTCAGAAGGTGTAGATCGTCTCCATCTGCGCATCAGCCACAATCTGATATTAAGAGAGAACGCTATGCTCGCTGCGGCGAAAATACGGCATGCTTCTGGGGGCAACCTCAGCAATCAGGCGACGATTTGTGCCATTGGCTGTATGATTCCTACAGTTACCTACGTGGCACAACAACTTTAGCCTGGAAGCTCAGCGAACATGGTAATCGAGAACGCAGCTGTAGAATTTCGCTTGCTACGCCCCACATGAAAAGCTGGCATAAGAAGGGGTGGCACCTACCCTCTAGACAAGTCAATTTTAACGGCCCGGCTACAAGAACCAGAAAAAAATGTCGTTCGGTGCCCCCCCCACCTACCCACACACACACTTTGTTAGGATACTAAAGAATCCTAAACGAACCGTACAAACTCCGCTCGAATTTAACAATTATGAAACACTCGTTATCCCATTTTCGTACTGAAAAGCAGCAGAATATATATTTCTTCAAGTTGAACTGATCTGTTAGATCGTTGACAGACATTCATGCCGAATCCTCGTTAGTAATTAACGGCATCACCACTGCCTAGTCTCGATGGCTGTATTCCCGTTTCTGCGACTTTTAGCCACATGCTCCCATGCCTCGCTTTCGCAGCTCATCGTCTCCACTGAGTAGTCGTCTTCCACTTGGACGGTCATCGGTCAGAGGTGCCATGTAAC